CCTCCCCCAAACATCTCCAACTCCTCCCCGAGGGATGGGCACAAACGGCTGAAAATGGAGCTTGGGCAAAGTCCGGCCTGGCGCAGCACCTGGCGTGGTGGGGTTGTTTTCTGAGCAGCAGAGCACAAATGTTTGCATGAAGTCTCTGTTTTACAGACTCTTGGGGTTAAAAGGCAGCCAGCCCAGCAGAGCAGGGACCCAGACTGGGGCAGCTGCCTCTGGACTGCTCTGGGCTGGATCTTCCTGCCTGTTTGTCTTACAGATCACCCACACCCACCTGCCTTGACCCTACACTCACCCTACATCCACCTGTCTTGACCCTACACCCACCCCACACCCACCTGCCTTGACCCTACACTCACCCTACACCCACCTGCCTGGACCCTACACCCACCTGCCTTCACCCTTCTCTCACCCCACACCCACCTGCCTTCACCCACCTGCCTTGTGCTTACACCCACCTGCCTTCACCCATCACCCAGCTGCCTGTCTGTGCTTTGGCCCTGATAAAAGAGCAGCATCTCCTGTTTTTATAAAAGCTGAACTATGCTGGATTTGAAGATTTTAGCCCCAGAATGAGGAGCTACCTGCCTGGTCTGTGGGACAGGTGAGCTGGGAGGGCTCAGCTGCTCTGGGATGTGATGAGCTTCACTCCGTTCTCAGCTCTGTCAGCAAAGCTGGGGGAGAGTTTCTGGGGGGAAGGAGTCAGTGGGAGAATGGGGCCACCCCTGGTGCCCTGACCCTGCAGGAGGTGAACGCCCGGGCCGTGTTTGTGAACGTGGCTGATCCCAGAGCTGCCCCTGGACTTCGCCCCCTCGGCAGCGGAACAGAAGGTGTTCCCCTGCCGGCCTTGTCCCCTGCCAACACCCCCGGCCACCACTGTCCCCAGGCCAAAGAGAGGTGGGAGCACCCTTCTGCTTCCCCTGGGATAAACCCTGCTGGGTCCCAGCAGCGGCTCAGGGCTTAAGGAGTGCAAAGCCCCACCTCAGTGAGTCCCTGGAGACCCGGAGTGCGGCCTTGTCCTGTGCCCAGGGCAGGGAAATGCTGGGCAGCAGCAGGACCCACACCCTGCTGGGGTGCCCGAGCCCCCCCAGAGCAGGGAGGGCAGTGCTGGACAGGGCCAGCTCACCCAGGTCCCTGTGGCCCCCCACACCTGTGCCAGGCCACCCAGGTCCCCGTGGCACCCCACACCTGTGCCAGCTCACCTGGAGCAGCCGTTCTGGTGCTGCCACCAGCCGGAGGGCAGAGCCTGCAGCTCCTCACCTCCTGTAAAAGCAAGGCCTTGGCAGGCTCTGCACAGAGCTTTCTGTAGGGTACAGTTTTCCCCAGTCGTTTATTTTTTTTTTTTTCCTTAAACAGCAGCTCCTGGCTTAGCTTTTATTAATCTAGGGTACAGTTTTCCCCAGTCGTTTATTTTTTTTTTCCTTAATAGCAGCTCCTGGCTTAGATTTTATTAATGAATATTGCAGCTCAGAGCATTTGGGAAATATCCCAGGCTCCAGGACTGCTTTGGGAAGAGCAATGGAACAGCAAAACCCCGAGGAAGGGAACAGGAACAGCGAGTATTGGATGTCACTGTGTCGTTTTAGGAGGAGCCTCAGAGCTCTGTTACTGCAAGGGCCAGGCTGTGAGGAATGAAGATCCATCCATCTGCTTCCTAATGCCCAAGCCACACTGAAACAAATAATTCAGCAGCTCAGGGTGTGGATGTGCAGAAGAATTTCTTTAACACTCCTGCAGAGCTCCTGAGCTGCCCTCAGCTGATCCCAGGGACTGAGGGCAGGGGGACAGCTCGGGCTGGGCAGGACAGGGATCCCTCTGGGGCCACGGCACACAAGGACCCACAAAGTGGGAGTGTCTGGAGACTCCTGGCAAAACCAAGCCCAATAAAACCAAACAATGTCTTCAGGAAAAGCCAGGTGCTGAGTCAGGCTCCCAGAAGGAAGCACCTGTGTGAGAGAACCTCCACAGCTAAAGGCTCTCGTGTTTGTGAGGTCTCCACTTGGGCAACCCAGTCAGCTCACTCAGCAGAACACTCAACACATGCTCAGAGCAAAAACCACTCCAGCAAGAGCCAAGACAGCTCCATCCACAGCAAACAACTCCCTGCAGACAGAAACCCCATGCACTCATCCCACGTGTGGATGTGAGCCAGGAAACCCAAACTGCTGAACACAGCTGGGCTGACAGGCCCCACCCAGCTGGTCTGAGGGCTCCAGACACAAAAACACCCCCAGAGACCCTTCCCAGCCAAGAGAAGGCAGCATTTACCTGCTCATGGCTCTGAAATCCTCCCAGGAAACACATCCTGGTCCTGTGCACAGGGAAACCCCCAGGGCTCCTGGCCAGCCCCTGCCCTGCAGGGTGAGGGAAGGTCAGCAGCCAGGAATGGAGCCCTGCAGGTTGTCCTGGGGTTTGTCCTGACATTGGGAAGTGCAGAACTGGTCCTTCAAGTCCCGGGGTCAGAGGCTGGGCCACCCTCCATCCCTGAGCTGATGCTGAGGACCAAACCCCCCATCTGCTGGTGACATCACAGGGACAACCTGAGACTTCTTCCCCAGGCTCAGCTCTTCCAGAGCTCAGTTCCAGCACCACGCCCAGGGAAGGTCCAGGTTTGCCTGCAGGACAACAAACACTTCCCCAGAGGCTCCTTCATTTGCCTCCAGACACCAGCCTGGCACTCAGGATGCTCCTGGAGCTACCAAATGGGTGAAAATGTCTTTGTCCCTCTGCAGGAATCGGCCACCCTCTGAGCAACCCCCACCCCAGGATCCCCAAGCTGGTGAAAACAGGAATGTAAAAGTCACAGCACAGCAAAGAGCACAACTTTTACTTTATAAAAAAGACCAAACCAGAACATTTAAGGCCAGTGAGTGCAAAAGAATCCCACAAGACACCACAGGTGAACCAGCTTCAGGGACCATCGAGCTGACAGTCTTCCTCTTAGTGAGTTTTTGGGGGGCTTGAGTTTTTTTGGCCAGTTTAATCCCCACATGCTCACTCTTCATACCCAGACTAGCCACCCAAATGTGTATCTGCTGTGCAGCAGTGACTGCAGCTCAGCCCTCGTCTCCAGCACAGCCCAGAGCTGTGTCAGTGTGACCCAGGCGACACCTCAGCGCTCAGCTTTGAGGAAACTTGTCCAAAATTACAATGTACAAACCCAGGAGAAGCAGAAGCCAAGCAGGTCCCTCAGGACGGGCAGCACTGGGAAGGAGGTGACCTCACACAGCTCCCCTGGGAGTCCCAGCCTGGCCTTGCTTCAAGTCTTTCCCTTGTATAAACTCGGTTTCTCATAAATCAACAGCTTTAAACACAAAGCAGGGAGGGGAAGCCAAATGCAAGGCTCAGTCCCTTCCCTTCATCCTTGAAACGTCTCTGTCAGTGTTTCCAGGTGTGGTCTCAGTAATGCCCCTGGTTCCTGGAAGCACTCTCTGAAAACAGCCAGTGGTTTACAGAAACAGGCTCTAACAGGGACTGGAACTGTCCATTTCAAGGGTTTTGGCCTTTTAAAGGAGCCTGAGAGGAATGAAACCCTTCCTCCCTGCCCAAACTCCTGAAGAGCAATCACAAGCTATAAAATAAAGGCACGTTTCAATTCAATTAAGGCACATTTCAGTTCAATTAAGGGACATTTCAGTCCAACTGAGGCACATTCCAGTCCATCTAAGGCACAAAACCACGGTCCACACCGAAGCCCAGGGCCTGTTTGGGCTTCCCTCTCCCCAAAATCCAGTGGGTGTGTTCATCCTATGGCTGCTAAATTAAATGAAGCATTTTCTGCTCATGTCCAAGGGCACCCAAAGCTCCAAACAAGTTCCATGGCTGGACATGTTTACTTTGTGATAAACCACCAAGTGGCAACACCACAGATGCAGCTTCCTCCTGCTGCAGACCTCCAGGCCAGCTGGCACTGAGCCCTGGGGACAGCAGTGCCCATCTCCTGGCTCCCACTGCCTCCAGGGAGCCCCAAAGGGAAGGAGCAGCTGCTGAGTGCCCACAGGGCAAGGCAGGGAGCAGCAGTGCCTCACAAACCCTCTGCTGACACTCAGGAGCCTTTCCTTTTGAGGCAAACCAGGGGATTTGAAGGGATTTTTTAGCAGGACAGTCAAACAGCCCAGTTCTGAACCATGGAAAGTCAGGAGTGAATCGAGTGTTCCCTTCACCTGCCACAATCCTGCTCCAGGCTGTTCCAGGGGAAACCTGGCAAGAGGAGTGAGGAGAGCTGGCAGGGCAGAGGGTGCTCCTGGAGCCCAGCAGAGCTGATCCCCACGGTCTGCTCATGCAGGGGCAGCCCAGCAGCCAGCCCAGCCCCCAGCACTGGCCCTGAATCAGGAGATGAGGCCTCAAATTAAATGAGCCCCACAAATCTGAACCTTCTCCTCAGGCACAGCCCAGCAGCCAGCCCAGCCCCCAGCACTGGCCCTGAATCAGGAGATGAGGCCAAGAGGCCTCAAATTCAATGAGCCCCACAAACCTGAACCTTCTCCTCAGGCTGCAGGAGGTGGCACCAAGGCTCAGCAGGGAAAGGCAGTTTGCCTACTGAAAACACCGTGGGCAGAAGACTTTGGGTTGCTGGGACCAACAGAGGCACTTTAAACAGAGATTTGGGTCCCTGCAGAGCAGGATCTCAGCCTGCACCCCAACATCAGCACCAGCACAGAGACACCACACAGTTATCCCTATCCAAGCTCACTCAGGCAGTGGCAGGAAGCAGAACTGTACAACAGGTCCCCAAAGCAGGGAAAGTCTGAGCCACCGAGGCTGCTGGAGCTAAATGTGATTTACAGAAATCACAGAGGCACAAGTTCTCTGCTACTTCCTTGTCCATCTTCTCCTCCCTGGGCACACGTTCCACCTCCCAAGTTCGTTAGCTCCGCAGTTTGCTTCCTTGATTGTCCAAAAAAACCAAAATATCCAGTGAAGTTCAGGCAGCAGGAAGAATCTGGCTTCAGTAGGGATCAGGGTAGACTGGGGAAAAAAAAAATCAAGCGTGGCACAGCACACTCCACATGGAAGGAGCAGGATTGTGAGTGCAGCAAAGGCCTGGAACGCCTCCCTGCTGCTCAGGTCCTTTAACAGTACACCTGGAGCAGAGGTGCCCCGGACGAGTCAGTCTCTGTGTCCTGGAAAGAGGAATCTCTGCTGGTGGGAGAGCCTTGGGGAGGAAAGAAGAGAAGAGACGGTGCATTAGCCCAGGGGAAGCACGGCAGCCTGGCAGTGGGGAAGCAGCTGCCACCAAAGGCTTTGTGTACCATGAGGGAGGAGAAAGCCACACAAAGCCATGGCAGGGAACAGCCCTGCCTGCACTGCAGCCATCTCCCAGACAGAGCTGCTGTGCAGGAGGAAACTTGTCTTGTAGGCCTGGGCTGCTCTCGGGGAGGACAGAGCTCGGGGCAGCCGTCGCTCCTGCCTGCTTCCCTTTTGCACAGTTCCTTTTGCTCCCAGTCTCACCCAGCTGTGACCTCTGGCAGTCACACCCCAAACACAGCCCCAAACTTTGTCAGGGTACAGAGGAACTGCAAGCTCTCAGGTCAGGTCCCGTGCGAGGCCAGGCAACGCGCCACGCTGGGCTTCCACCCCTTTTCAGAAAGATCCACCAGCCCAGGGATGCCCGAGCTCCGTCAGCCCCGAAGGGCAGGAGCAGCGAGGGGGGCCCGAGCAGCAGGGTCAGCCCAGGCTCTGTGGGGGCGAGGGCACGGAGCAGGGGGGGCCCGGGGCTCTGCCCTGCAGGCAGGCCCAGCCGGGCGTTACCTGCGCTGCTGTGCCGCCTCATGTTCCTGGCCAGCACATCCGCCGGGGTCTCCTCCGAGATCTGCACGGCCAGCTCTGCAAGGCAAACCCAGAGGCCTGAGACAGCAGGGAGGATGAGAAGGATGACTCAGCACTAAGGATCCCTGTCAGGGAGCAGCCCCAGGGAACAGGACAGGCTGAGTCTGATTCCTCCCATTGCCTCTGCCACTGTCCGGATAGTCTGAGCTGTGTCCTTAAATCCCAGGAGCAGCCTCGCTGCTAATCTGGGAAGCACAACACCCACACGGTTTCCTCTGGTATTTCTGGATATCTCCTTGCTCCCACACTCAGCTTTTCAAGGTTTTTCTACAACAAACTCTGTTATACCCTGCTCTGGAGCTCAGACACTTGAGGCTGTTCCCACAGGAAGAAGAAGCAGAAGCACTGGTGCTGTGGAACAGCCCTTCCCTCCCCTTGGCAGGGACATTCAGAGTGTGGAGGAGGTCTGGGCTCTGAGGACACACTGCCACCAGAGTCTAAGGGTGGCATTAGCCAGGCAGCACATGGGAGAGAGCCAGCTGAGTAACTGGACATCCTCGGGCACGAGCAGCTCGTCTGGTCCTACCAGTTCCGTTTGACTCACCGTTTTTGTGCCTCCCTTGGATGAGCACAGGCAGCAGCAGCAGCACAAACCCACCTATTGCTCAGCACAAACCTCACGGGCAAGGAAAGACAGGCTCAAGAAAGCCACAGCACAGGGAGGAGGGCGAGAAGCAGAGCTCTGCACCCACACACCCCAGCAGAACAGAACAACAGAGCAAGCCCACCGGGGACAGAGCAGCCCCCCGCCCCGCTGCAGCGCCACACCTCCGTGCCTCTGGTGACCCAACCCTCCTGCAGCACCCAGAGACCCCCAGGGACCCCCCGTACCGTCCTGGCTGATGACCATGGACTCCAGCATCGTCTCGTTGCCGCTGTCCGGCGCGGTGCCCCGGGCTGACTTCTCCTCGTGGCCCCGGCTGCAGACGTGGGGCCGCACGCGGCTCTTGCGGGTGCTGATGCGGATGATGCCCCGCACCAGGCGGCACTCGGCGTCCTGCTCGTCCAGGTTGTAGTCCTGAGTGATGCTGTTGATCAGGTCCGAGATCTTGTTGGTCTTCTCCAGGAAGACGGTGTCCGAGGTGCACTTGGCCAGCTCGTCGATCTGGTGGACGCTGAAGAGCTCCGTGAGCTTCTTGAAGATCAGCACGTCGATCTGCCTGCTGGACATGGAGCCGTTCAGCTCGCTGATGTCCACGTCGGACTCGTGGAAGGAGTAGTACTCCTCCGAGCTCCGGTGGCTGCTGGGCAGCGCCGGCTTCTCCACGCTGTTCCTGAAGGGCTTCTCCAGCAGCTCCTTGCAGCAGGAGTCGGACTCCAGGTGGTGGTTGGTGTTCCTGTTTGGATAGACGGGGATGCCCTTCAGCTTCACGTCCGGGTAACTGAAACTGCTGCCCATGCTGGACTTCTTGATCTGGTTCCCGTTCTTCTCAGCAGGAGAGGCGTTGGCGGGGCTGTTGGGCAGCCGCCCGTTGTAGTCTCCGTTCTTGCCATCATCCGTGGAGGTCTCGGCGGGCCCCGGGTAGGGAACGCAGACACCGCAGTCCTGGAAGCAGCCCCCACACGTCACTATGCAACAGAAAACGGCCTTGTACGTGTTCCAGGCCTGAGACAGGGAGGAGCAGCAAAAGCTCTGGTTTGGGGGAGCCTCTGCTGTCCCGGAGATGAAGGTGATGGTCTCTGCCTCTCGGCCCTTGGGGTCTTTGAGCTCGGCCTTGCGCCCTTTCCTGTCCCGCATCTGCTGCGCTCGGCCGCGGCTCGCTTTGATCTCGGGCGTGGAGCCGCTGAACACCTCCAGGCTGACATCCGTGCTGTCCCTGCTGTCCCTGCTGTCCCTGGTGTCCCTGGCTGCCCGGGCCCGCAGGGGCACAGCCTCGGGGCAGGGCTGCTCCCGCTGCCGGGCGCCGCTCAGCTCGGGGGGCAGGCGGCTCCTCCGGCCCAGCATGGCTCGGCACTCGGGCACCTGCAGGGCACAGGGGGGCAAATCAGAGCAATCCCCCAGCACCAGCCCCACCTCAGCGAGCTGGCTGGCAGCACAGAGGGATGTGACAGCCAGAGATCCCCAAAGCCGACACTGCAATGATTTTTGGGAACGTTTTGTGTCGGGACTCGCGCTGCTCTCGCTCGGGGTCGGCGTTCCGGGGCTCTCCCACCACCCAGGCCTCGCTGCTTCCTTTGGGTAGGTGTTCTCATCAGAAGAGAGATGCTTTGAAAGGGCTATTTTTGGACATCAAAACCCCTGTAACCTTCAGAAGAGTCTCCTCCAGGCAGCTGGAAGAGGAGTCGGCTCCAGAGCCATGAAGGAGCAGCACAGCTGGAGGTGGAGCCACTGACAGGCTCCGAAGGGAAAGTGGCTTTTTTTAAACAACTTCCCTTTGTCTTGCATTCCTCAGGATTAGGCTGGGCCCTGACAGCACTTATCCATTTCAAAACACATCGTGCCCAGGAGGAGATGACAAGCAATCCATCATTATGCAAGCTGCCAATTCCATCTCCACGTTTATTTGCTGCTATTTCAATTTAGAGGATTTAGCAACGACAGCATTACCAACACTAATGATTTTTGCCAGTCATGCTAAGGTCAAGGGCTTCCCTGTGAAAACCTGATGTCTTCATCTGGATTAAGGAAAAGACCTTGTCAACAAGTTGGTCTGAAATCAGCCTCACGGGAACAAAACCTCCACAAACAGAACGAGAACCCCGAGCAGCCCGGAGTGCTCAGCTGTGCCAGCACAGCTCCTCCAGCTCTGCAGCACAGGGAATGTTTCCACATGAGCTCTGAGCTGCTGCCCCTGCACAGAGCCAGCCCTCACACCCTGCCACGCTACCTCTCCCTGGTTTTCATCTTTTTATTATTAAAGCTCAGCACTGCTGCTCTGCCTCTAGCCCAGGCTGTGGTGGCTCCTGGAATTCTCCACGGTTTCCAGGCTTCTTGGCCAACGCTGCTTGCACCTCCAAGAGATCCTTTCAAACACTAATTAGGGTAATTAATAAGCAGTGAGAGCCCAGCCATAGTGTAAGTGTTGTAGGGCTGTCCTTGTTGTTTTACTATGGACTTTCTATAGGGCACCTCAAGCATGAATAAACAAATCTGTCAGGCCTTGTTAGAGCAGTGCCTCTTTCTCCCTGGTTTTTAAACCAAGAGTCACATTTTCCCCACAAAGAAGCAGGCCCAGACTGCAAGCCAGGCTGTTACAGCACACCACTGCTTTCCAGGAATATTTTGGCTCTGTTACCTTATGAAAATTCATCCCAGGAGCTCCCTCTGCACACTCCTGGGCAATATGTAAAATAAAAAGCCCCAGATGCTCCAATTTCAGTGCAGGGCAGGCAGAGCTCCCTCATCTCAGCATCACTGCAGAGTTTTCACTGCTTTCACTTCAGAACAAGTCAGGGGTTATTCCCCTCAAATTCCTCGTTCAGAATTTAAAAACAGACTGAAAAAAAAAGCATGAAATGAGATGAAAACATTTGAGCTGAATTGGGAACTGCTTCCTGGGGTGTTTATCTTCATTCCAAGTCCTCACTGAGAGACCCAACATCTGCCCTGCACAGCAACACTCCTCTACATAACAACAGGAATATTCTGAGATTTCAGAGCATCTGGGGCAGAGGGAGGAGCATTGCCCAGCTCTGAGGAGAAGACCTGCAGGTGCAGGGACACCTCTGGGCTCACCCATTCCCACCACAGCTCACGCTTCTGGGACCTCTGCACCACAAGGAAAAGTTCCTGAGGGGCACAGACAGGACACAGCTCCTCGATCCAGCAGCTTCCCCAGCACAGGAAGGGGCTGGACCAAAACCCCCAGCCTTAAATAAATGCTCAGACCAAAATCTCATCCAGGTGTTACTCACACAGTGGCTGGGAGCTTCCTCTGCTCTCACACAGGCACTGTGGGTGACTGCAGGTCCCTCTAGAGAGCCTCAGCATCTGCTCCAGAGGAGCCAGGAAGGAGCCACAAGGGGTTTGCAGGACTCAGAGTTAGCCAGGGTCTAAGATCTTCATTGTTCAGAGGGTGGGATTTCCCTGGAAAGTTGGAAAAAAGCTCAGTTAAGTTGTGAATATCCTGAACAACACATCCGTCAGCAGCAGCCACGCTGCTGGTGCTGCTGGCAGCTAGGGAATGTCTCCTAAATCCAGGAGACAGGATTCACACACTGACACAGCTTCTCTGAACTCTGTGGGAGCACCCACAGCTGGGAAGTGTCCTAGGGAGCCTGGCCAGGAGCTGGAAGTCACCTGTTCAGCTCCTGCTGCCCACTGCTCTGCTGGGAATGGAGATCCTGACCCGGGGTAAATGTGGATGCAGCACTGCCCCTGTGCATCCCCGGGGAGCCAGCACCCCTCTGGGATACCAACAACCTGCCCAAGAACTGTGCCAACCCCTGCCCTGTGCCCCCGGCCCAACACAGCCACCCCTGCTGCAGCTGACAGCAGGGCTCCAGCACGGGGCAGGCAAACAAAGTGTGACCCTCTTCCCTCCAGAACGACAGGCAAGGGAAAGGGGAGACCCAGCTGGGCACCTGACAGAGCTCCCTCTGCTACCTGGGGCCCACCATGCCCTGCAGGGGGGGAGAGGAGAAGCTGGCAGCAGGGGAGCAGGAGAGCAGGGGCTGCAGGGGAGCAGGGGCAGCAGGTGCTGCAGGGGAGCAGGGGCTGCAGGGGAGCAGGGGCTGCAGGGGCAGCAGGGGCAGGAGGAGAGCAGGGGCTGCAGGGGAGCAGGGGCTGCAGGGCAGCAGGGGCTGCAGGGGCTGCAGGAGAGCAGGGGCAGCAGGGGCAGGAGGAGAGCAGGGACTGCAGGGGCAGCAGGGGCTGCAGGGCAGCAGGGGCTGCAGGGGCTGCAGGGGAGCAGGGGCTGCAGGGCTGCAGGGGAGCAGGGGCAGCAGGAGCAGACCCTTCCCTGCCTGCCCTGGAGATCCTGACCCGGGGTAAATGTGGATGCAGCACTGCCCCTGTGCATCCCCGGGGAGCCAGCACCCCTCTGGGATACCAACAACCTGCCCAAGAACTGTGCCAACCCCTGCCCTGTGCCCCCGGCCCAACACAGCCACCCCTGCTGCAGCTGACAGCAGGGCTCCAGCACGGGGCAGGCAAACAAAGTGTGACCCTCTTCCCTCCAGAACGACAGGCAAGGGAAAGGGGAGACCCAGCTGGGCACCTGACAGAGCTCCCTCTGCTACCTGGGGCCCACCATGCCCTGCAGGGGGGGAGAGGAGAAGCTGGCAGCAGGGGAGCAGGAGAGCAGGGGCTGCAGGGGAGCAGGGGCTGCAGGGGCAGCAGGTGCTGCAGGGGAGCAGGGGCTGCAGGGGAGCAGGGGCTGCAGGGGCAGCAGGGGCAGGAGGAGAGCAGGGGCTGCAGGGGAGCAGGGGCTGCAGGGCAGCAGGGGCTGCAGGGGCTGCAGGGGAGCAGGGGCTGCAGGAGAGCAGGAGCTGCAGGGGAGCAGGGGCAGCAGGAGCAGACCCTTCCCTGCCTGCCCTGCCCTGCCGCGGCTCCCCCCGCGCCCCCACTCCGTTTCCCAGCGCTGGCAATCAGAGCCGACCCCAAAGCCCCGGAGAGCTCCGGCCGCCTCCAGCCTCCCGCGGGGCCGGGGCGGCGGGGAGGGGACGGCGCGGGGACCCCGGTGCGGGGCTGACGGACGTGCCCGCCCTCCTTCCCTCCCTGCCTGCCTCCCTCCCTGCCGGTCGCGGCCTGCGGCTGCCCCCGAGCCGGGCCCGGGGGCTGGTGGGGCAGCAGGCAGGGCCTGAGCCCGCCTGGATGTGCTTCAGGCAGGGATGGAGGTGGGTCGGTGCCGCGGGGCTGAGCCCCTCCGGGCGGGATGGGGCCTGGGCCGGGCGCTGAGCCGGGGCCGGGGCCGGGGCCGGGGTCGGGGCCGGGCTCAGAGCGGGCCGGGCCGGGCTCTCGTTACCTGCGAGCCGGGAGCGCGTCCGGCCCCGCCTCACCTGGGCCAGGTGCGCCACGTGACCCGGACGGGCCGCGCCGAGGGACAGCAGAGCGCGGCTGGCGAAGCTGCTCCGGGCCGGGCACAAACCCGGGACAAACCCGGGTAAAACCCGGGGACAAACCGGGACAAACCCGGGACAAACCGGCACAAACCCGGGTACAAACCGGGACAAATCCGGGTCCAAACCGGGACAAACCTGGGTACTAACCTGGCACAAACCCGGGCACAAACCCCGGTACAAACCCCAGTACAAATCCGGGTCCAAACCGGGACAAACCCGGTACAAACCGGCACAAACCCGGGTCTGCGAGCCGGGAGCGCGTCCGGCCCCGCCTCACCTGGGCCAGGTGCGCCACGTGACCCGGACGGGCCGCGCCGAGGGACAGCAGAGCGCGGCTGGCGAAGCTGCTCCGGGCCGGGCACAAACCCGGGACAAACCCGGGTAAAACCCGGGGACAAACCGGGACAAACCCGGGACAAACCGGCACAAACCCGGGTACAAACCGGGACAAATCCGGGTCCAAACCGGGACAAACCTGGGTACTAACCTGGCACAAACCCGGGCACAAACCCCGGCACAAATCCGGGTACCAACCCGGTACAAACCCAGCACAAACCCCGGTACAAACCCCGGCACAAATCCGGGTACCAACCCGGTTCAAACCCGGCACAAACCCCGGTACAAACCCCAGTACAAATCCGGGTCCAAACCCCGGTACAAACCGGGTACCAACCCGGGCAGAGCAGCCCAGCCTTTGCCCCGGGTGCGCGCCCCAGGGCAGCCGGGGTCCGCGTGCCCGGGATCCCTCCCCGAGCATCCCTGGGCCCACCCCGGGTGCTCCCCACCCCCGAGGTCCCTGTCCCGCAGTGTCCCTATCCCAAAGACGGTTATTCGCTCCTGGGGTCGCATCCTGCCCCGGAGGTTCGGGGGAAAGGAGAGAACCCCCCTGGGCAGGCGGGAGGGAGCTGGGGCAGCCCGGGACTCCTTTAAACCTGACATCCTGGTGCACGATTCCTTCCTAAATCCGCCAGGACGGAGGAGCAGGAGAACCCCTCCTGCCCCGGTAACTGGGACACCCGGGAAAAAACCTGGGCAGGGGCTGGGAGGGAGGGCACGGCGTTAATTAGCGCTGCCCGTAATGAGGCTGCGAGTTTCTGGAGCACATCCCAGCGCGGGGCTTTGCGGGGCTGGAGACGAGGCGATGCTCGTCCCGGTGCTCTGTCCTCCTGCATCCCTAATCCCGGAGCGCCGGGGCAATGCCGGGGCTGCGCTGGCCGCAGGACGCAGGGCGGGGGCGCGCCCGGTGTCCAGCCCCGGTGCCCGATCCCGGTGTCCCATCCCAGTGCCCTGTCCCTCCGTTCTGTCCCTGTGTCCCGCCCCTGTGTCCCTCCCCGGTGTCCCGTCCCGGTGTCCAGCCCCGGTGCCCGATCCCGGTGTCCCATCCCAGTGCCCTGTCCCTCCGTTCTGTCCCTGTGTCCCGCCCCTGTGTCCCTCCCCGGTGTCCCGTCCCGGTGTCCAGCCCCGGTGCCCGATCCCGGTGTCCCATCCCAGTGCCCTGTCCCTCCGTTCTGTCCCTGTGTCCCTCCCCGGTGCCCTGTCCCTGTGTTCTGTCCCTGTGTCCCTCCCCAGTGTCCCCTCCCCGGTGTCCCGCCCCGGTGCCCGATCCCGGTGTCCCATCCCAGTGCCCTGTCCCTGTGTCCCTCCCCGGTGTCCCTCCCCGGTGTCCCTCCCCGGTGTCCCTCCCCGGTGTCCCTCCCCGGTGTCCCTCCCCGGTGTCCCTCCCCGGTGCCCGATCCCGGTGTCTCTCCCCGGTGCCCTGTCCCGGTGTCCAGCCCCGGTGCCCTGTCCGTCTGTTCTGTCCCGGTGTCCCGCCCCGGTGCCCGATCCCGGTGCCCGGTGCCTCGGCAGAGCGGCACTGCCAGGGAAGGGAGCGCAGAGGGAGAACAAAGCTCCCACCGGGTTTTTGTATCACCGAGGTTTATTCTGAGCGCTGCTAATTGCAGCCTCCTCCGCTAAATCATTAACAGCTCGACAGCCCGAGCAGAAACCCGCAGCGCCGGAGGGTTCTGGGGACTCAGGCTGTGCCTGACCTCGGGGCAGGACATTTCTCGTCTCAGGGCAGGACATTTCTCGTCTCAGGGCAGGACATTTCTCGTCTCAGGGCAGGACATTTCTTGTCTTTTTCTACGGTTTGCCTTCAGCAGCCGCTGCCTGCTCGCTGCCGGCTGCTCCGGGGCTCAGCCTCACTGCCCAGGGTCCCCAGCTCACCTTCTCCTTTCTTAAACTCTTGTCCAGGCACAGCTGCTCCCCTTTCCTGTCCTTTTGTCACCCCGGAGCGGGGACTGGAGCTGGGAAGGCGTCAAGCAGCGCAGGCATGGGGGGGACCCAAAAAAGCGATTATTTTCTGAGCAGGCAGTGACGGAGCAGGTGCCTCCTGAGCTCCCTCCAACCTCTGCGATCCCGGGGTTTCATTTTGGGGGAACGGGGGGAGCTCGGGGCAGGACACACCCCGGCCCTTTCTTCTTTTGGGGGCTACACTTGATTTCCACTGGATCAGAACAAAAAAACGAGAGAGGAGGATGCTCTGTTTAATTCCTGCCTGTGCCCACAGTTCTTTTGGGCTGGGGGCAGAGGAAGCATGAAAAGAGCTTTAACCCCACGGTGGAGCTGCACCCCTCAACTTCCACACCCCATTTGGAGCAGCATTGGTGTCGGAGAGACAAAGATCGCCCAACCCGGCTTCCCCACAGCCTGGAGAGCAGCCCGGGGAGCCCCGGGAACGGAGAGCAGCCCGGGGAGCTCCGGGAACGGAGAGCAGCCCGGGGAGCCCCGGGAACGGAGAGCAGCCCGGGGAGCTCCGGGAACGGAGAGCAGCCCGGGGAGCTCCGGGAACGGAGAGCAGCCCGGGAGCCCCGGGAACGGAGAGCAGCCCGGGGAGCTCCGGGCATAGAGAGCAGCCCGGGAGCCCCGGGAGCGCCGGGGCCGCGCTCCGAGGCGGGCGGGGATGCGCTGGCACCGGGGGATGGGGCGAGCCGAGCGGGGGCCGGAGCGGTGACGCAGCAGCCGCTGACGCTGCTCCGGTGCCTGGCAGACGTGTGGCCGCCTGGCAGGAGCAGGAATGTGATGCAAAGCACAAGAGATGGGGTTTTTTTTTCCTCCTAAGGTAAGGAAAGTAAAAATGTCACCAGCCCCGTGGGCGACATCCACCGAAGGCCTGGATGTGGCTCTGCCTGAAACAGATTTAGGCTGGGTTTTGTTTTTGGCTTAGGCTTTTATTCCAGTCTGGGGGTGGGATGAAACCTTGACACCTGGTTTCTGTCATCTGTGCTGCTCCGATGTGAGACCCACGCAGCTACACGCAGAGGGTGACATTCCAACAGGAGGAACCCCAAAAACCAGGCTCGGGGGGGAGCAGGGCGGCAGTGGCACCTCGGCTGCAGCCCCCTGCCCCGCCAGCCCCCTCCCAGCTTTATTAGCACCGTGTAAACGACAATGACGTCGCTGTGACGGCCGCGGTGCCCGGGACAGCCCGGCCGCAGCCCCCCCAGGCCACCTTCCCCGCGACCCCCGTGACCTTCTCAGCCTTCCCAGGGATCCCACCCGTCCCCAGCTCCGCATTTCCCACCGGCCCCTCCAAGGGAGGGCGGTTTTCCAGCACCGGTAACGCCACCGGGCCGGGGCCGTACCGAGCTGTACCGAGCCCCGTGCCCGGTACTGGTATCCAGCCCGGACCCCTGACGGTGCCATACCGGGCTGGGGCTGTACCGTACCGAGCCCGGGGTCCCATCACTGCCGGCACCGGTGCCGTACCGAGCCCGGTGTAGCACCGAGCCCACAGCGGTCCCGCGCCGGTGCCGCGCCGAGCCCGGGGCCGGTGCAGTCCCGGCCCGTACCGAGTCCCGGACCGGTGCAGTGCCGGCCCGTACCGAGCCCGGGGCCGGTGCAGGCGCTGCTGCACGCCGAGCTGCGCCTGGCCGCCCGCGCAGAGAGCCTGGGCCGCCTCGGCGCCGGCGTGGCCCAGGCGCAGCTCGCCCTGGCGGCGCAGAGCCAGCGGCTGCAGAAGGGGCTCCGCCGCCGCCCGCGGCCCCGGCCCGGAGCGCTGCTCGCCGGCTGCGGGGGGATCGGCTCAGGGGGTTCTGAAAGGGGGGGGGACACGCCTCGGTGGGTCTGGGGGGAGCTGCAGGATCTGGGGGACCCCGTGGTGGGGGGGGGATGCAGTGCTTCGGAGGGTTTGGGGAAGTGTAAGTGGTGGGGACGCGGGAGGTTTGGGGAGCTGGAGGGGTCTGGGGTACTTGGGGGGGTTTGATCCCGGGGGAGCCAGGGGGTTTGGGGGCTCTGGAAGTGGGGGGGCGCCTTGGTGGGCTGCTGTGGGGTCGTTCAGGGAGCCCTGGGGGGTCTGATGGGGTGGGACCTGGTGGGTTTGGGAGTCCTGGGGTCGGGGTCACCTTGGTGAGGGTGAGGGGCCTCGGGGACCCTGCAGGATCTGGGGGACCACCTGGTGTGGGGTAACCCGGTGGGGTCTGGGGTCCTTTACAGGAGTCTGGTGGGTTTGGATCTGGTGGGTTTGAGGGTTACATTGAATTCTGCAGAGTGTGAAGGGTCCAGGGGACCCTGTGGGGTGGGGAGACCCAGCAGGGTCTGGGGAATCCGATGGGCTGGAACCCAATGGATTTGGGGGTCCCTAGAGGGTGGGGGAGGTCTGGGGACATGTCCTGGAGGTGGTCTGAGGGGTCCACTGGGATGAGACCCAGTGGGCTGGAAGGGCTTAAGCATCCTTGAGGGTGCCAGGGAGATCCTGCAGGGTCCTGGGGACTCTGGGCTGGGGGTACCCAGCAGGGTCTGGGCACCCCAGCAGTGGCCCAAGGGGTCCGATGGGGGGAGACTTTGGGGTATTTGGGGTTCCACAGGGGACCTTGTGGTATTAGGGCACTCCAGGGGACCCAGCAGGGTCTGGGGTCCTTGGGGTGCCCTGAGGGATTTGGTGGGAGAGCATCCCTGGGGGTTGTGG